TTAGTTATGATCTTGTCAGAGATTATTACTGGGTTAAGTTTATTAGCTGTGCATTAATTATGCATAAGGAGGGAATAACAGCAAATAGATAATGTAAAATCGATATTAAAAAAGTTTTCATTTTTTACCCCTCAAGGAAAAAGTGTATGATTGTAGTTCTATTTAAAATACTGAAAAAGTAGAAACAACCTAGAGGTTCTGTAAGTAAATAGTTAAATGTTACATTTACAGTATTCATTTACAGTATTTATTATGTTTCTATCAGAATTAATGATAGACTATATTGATTCCTGTAAAGATGCATTAAAAATGGTAAGTGAAAAAATCCCACAAATTTATATCCACACTGACAATTAAAAAATAGATACATATGGTACTTTATAATAAAGAAATATGTAGCTCTATTAATACGACTTTGAAAAGCTGATAAAGGACAGGCAGAATGAGAAGTAGAAGGTGACAAATGTGTTTGGAAAACAATGTTGGCCGGTTGGGTAAAGGAAACAGTTAAAATGTAAGAGATTAAAATATAAGAATAATAAAAAGAAGGGCAATTGAAGGACTCTGTACTATGTTACATGTTTGGAAAGACCTTGAGGAACAAAACTTTGTGCCCTAGAAATGGAAATTTTCCCGGAGAGGTTGTAGAGCAGCACTTTCCCAAAGTGCTTTTGGCAAAATTATTTATAAAGCTTAATAGTTGTTACATGTGAATAAAATCTGTAGCGAAGCAAATCTGGAAAAGCCTAGGTTTCATACAATTAAAAAGATTCTTTTGTGTAGGATTTGTCAACGCCTTTAATATAATGAGCATTTTCCAGGCGAGTAGGCGTGGATGCACATTATATAGTGCAGGATTTCATAAACTCAGTTGACTGAGCCCATAGAACAGTTTGGTTCTCATTACGGGAATAGTGTTCTGCAGACTACACTTTACACACATATTGGAATGTTCCTGGAGGTGTCCATTGGCAAACAATGTGGCTTTCTGTGGGTGGGTAAGTAGCTTGAGGAGTTAATAAGTTAAAATGTAACTTAGAGGAATGTCCCAAAGTGGGGGATGATTGCATGTCTTTGCCATTACATTTTTTGCTTTTGAATAAAAATTTATGAAAGTAAATCCGTAGCTAATCTAAAAGTAATCTTTGTTTTTAATATCGTAAGTATCCTCTATGGAGAAGTCAAAGTGGAAAATCTGCATTTGATTTGGTTTTAATCTGTTAGGATTTAAGATAAGCCCATTTTAAATTTGTAAAGATATAGCATATAGTTCTTGGCTGGTTTAAAGGAACTGGCAGATGAATAATGGATGAAGATTATATTTGTATTTAAGTATAACCTGCTGGAATTTTCCGTGTCTTCTCAGTCCCTCACACCTCGGCCCCACTAGATTTCCTGCTCACTCCTCACTTTGAGTTGCCAGCCAACTGCATGAGCTGACCAGAGCGGCCACGTTCTGTCTTCAGTTCATTGGAATTCTTTGCATCACCCAGCTCAGCTGTCTACTGCCTCCCCCAGAAACACTCTTCTCCTCTAGGCTTCAGTAATGTCGCACTCACCTGCTTTTGGTCCTCTTTGGTGTTTCTCAGTTTGCGTGCAGCTTTGTCTGCTGACTTCTGGATGTGTGATACGTGAGGGCTCAGTACTGGATCCCCCTTTCCTCTTCTGTACTCTTTTCCTAAGCAATTTCCTGCAGATTTGTGACCCGCTGCGTGGCGATGACTCCCAAATCTGTTTTCTCTGGCTAGAAAATAACCATTGTGCTCAAACCACAGATTTCTGCTTGCACTTAAATGTCTCACAGATACCTCAAGCTTTGTGTCCAAAACCAATTCCTGATAATCTCCTCTACTTCTCAATTTACTCTTTACTTACTGTTTTCTCTCTGTGATAATGGCACTACCCATCCATCCAGAGTTTTCCTGTTCAATCTCTGATTCTTTCACTTCTTACCCTGCCACTACAGTCGTCCAGGCCACCGTGATCTCTAACTTGAATTACTATAATTTCCTCTTCCCTGATCTCCCTACTTTGTACCCTCTTTTCAGTCAGTTATCTTTTTGAAATGTAAATCCAATCATGACACCCATTTTAAACAAAGCCTTGTAATAGTTTCCCACTACATACTGACTTTAGAGCAAAATCCAAACTCCGTCTCATGACCATAAAGGGACTGTCACAGTCCGGTCCTTTCCCCTCGCCTTCCCACCTGATACTGTACAGTATTCCCCTGGCTTTCTATGCTCCAGGCACAGCGGAACATATTTTTAGTCCCTTAAGTATGCCAGCCTCTTTCTTGAATTGGCCTGTGCACATGCTGTAGCTTTTACTTGGAGCAGCTTTCTGCCTGTTCTTTGCATGGCCGGCTCCCTCTCACCGTCCAGTCGTCTCAGGAAGGCCTTTGCTGACTGTCCAGAGTATGTTTACGCCTTCCCTGCCCTGGGGCTTGCTCCACTGCTGTTCTTTCAGAGCAGCAGTCACAATGTGTGTTTACTTATGCTCTGTCTCCACACAGATTGTAAACTCCTGGAGGCAGAGATCCTGTTTATTTTATTCACCAATGTATGATCAGTATATATAGCATGTAGTAAAGTGCCCTATAAAATGGTTTTTTTTTTTTGACTCAAATAAAAAATGTGACTGAATTCTGAGCTAAAAATATCTCCAGATGTAAAGAGTTTATTTTTCTGTGTAACTTTCTTTATTGTATTATGAATATATTGAATATGTATGTGCCTCTAGCTATGAGCTCAGAGTAGTCACTTATTGTTTCATTCAAAAGATATTGATTCAGCACAGTGCTGGGGTAGGAATGAATGATACATGAGGAACATGGTAAATAGACCTGTATCTAAGAACTCATAGTCAAGTAGGGAAAACAGACAAGTAAACAGTTAATTGTAATACAGTACAGCAGGTGCTAAAATTAAGGCTCATGCTAGGTTCATCAGAAGCACCTATAGATGTTTTTCATGGGAGCCTCCGAAGGGCTCTGACATGGGCTGGGGCTTGAAACACAGCCAGGTCCACTAGGCAAGTCAGGTGGGAATGTAAGTGCTAGAAGGACATTTATACTGAGGTACGGTATTAAATGGTAGAGAGGTGTTAAAACTGCAGAGCGCCCCTGGATCCCCAAACCTAATAGGTTCCTCAGTGTTTGCCACCAGATATTAAGAGGTTGGATAGCAAGATAGCTCAAAAACAAACAAACAGAAAACCAGCTCACAAAACTATCCAAATCTGTTCAGCTCCCGAATTTGAGTAGGGCGAGTTCTAGTGTGGCTATAACGAAGAATACTCACGGGAGATATCAAGGTCTGGGGCTAAAGATGGGATGGGACAGATCCAGACATAGAGGGGCACCCTGTGTGGGGTAAGGGAGAGAGCCACTGAGAGGTTTTCATTAGTAGCCACATAATCAGTGCTTCAGAAAAGTCATTCTGGTGATTGTGTAGAGCAGTTTGAGGGATATGGGATTAAAGGGAGACAGGCAAGTGTAGCAGCTAAAGAGTTGCTCGATGAGATGAAGGAATGAAATAGGCAACTGGCAGAGGGAGAAGAGGGAACAGATTCGGGAGAATTTAAAAACTATTTGGTGGGAAGAGGGAAAATAATTTCTGTATTTCTGCTGCTTTGTAGAAATGGGTAGACGGAAGCATTTATTACTAATTTAGAGGAGACTGGTGAGGAGCCCCTTTTAAGAGGAAAGATGATTACTTTTGAAATTGTTGAGTTTGAAGTAATGGTAGGATACATATTCATGATAAGTATTAGATGAATATGATAATTAAGTTTTAATAGGAAGTATTAGAGATCCAGTCATTATAGTGTATGTGGCAATTAACATACAATAGTTAAGACACGGGATGACATGCAGAGAGGGAGGACAACCAAGGATAGAACCCTGGGGACCACACATGTTTAAGGAAATGTCACTGAAAGAAGTCTCTACAAATTTGACTAAGAAGGAATAGTCAGGGGAGACAACAGTGCTGATTTTCAAAGAGGAGGATATAACTCAGAAGTGTCATATGCCACCAGGAGCACCATATTACTAATTGGAAAGTAATGGTCCTGGCATCATAAGCTAATTCATTTTTATGACTACAGACTGTACTTCCAACCCTAGCTAATTGCTTTGAAAATATGTGCTCATAGTCAAAGGAGGGGAAAGGATGAATGGATATGTGGTTGGATCAATTCAAGTTGATCCCTACCTCTGGAAAGTCAATTCAATACACCAGTATATTAGGAGGGCAGTATATTTTCATGTAAACTAATATATTACCTGTTTATTATATGTCATACAGTAAAACTATAAGCACTATATTTGATGCAATTTTATTACCTATCATACTGTGAACATACGATAGTATGGATATGATAGCCATCTGGAGAAGGCACATGTCCTTGGTACAGTCTCAGTGCAGTGCCTGGTCCTTAGCTTTGATCATGCTAGGGGAGTGCATTTATGTTAACCCAACTCATAAGATACTGGTTTACAGAAAAACCAGAATGCCAGTTAAGAAAATTATGGTGAAACATAAAACTAAGAAGATGAGCTATTCATGCTTGTTGATATCTGTGGGAAAACTTTATAACAGAGTTGAAATATAAGCAAAAGGTTGTTTGTAAATATGGGATCTAAGCAAGGGCAATTAGCTAAATAATCTTATTTTGAAGGCGAGAGGAGAAAATTTGCTTTTTCTGTATTGTACTGTATTTAGAGTCCTAGTCCGGGTACAATACATAAAACTTAGCTGTAGGTGAAAGCTTATGAATAGGTGGTATGTAGGGTACAGAGACAAGTGAGTCTGTCTGCACTAAAGGACTTAACAATCTAATTGAGGACAAATGCCTAATGACAAAGAACTGACATTATTTCTTACTCTAAAGGAAATAGTATGAGGGATTTGTAATGCTTTGTGTTAGTAAATATTTAGCGCAAATGGTTTTTGAAATGCATTAGTATGCTATAATATTTTTCTTTGAACCTGCAGGTTCTCCTGAAAAGAAAATCGAACATTCATCCATGAATCAAGAAAATAGCTCTGCAAACCCTATCAAGAGTAGAAAGGCAAGTCCAGTATCTAAAGACCACCGGCCTGGAAAGAAAACCTCAGAGAATTCATCAGTACACGGTCAAGTGCAAAAGGGGCATGATGAATCTGAAAGTGATTTTGAATCAGATCCTCCTTCTCCTAAGAGCAGTGAAGAGGAAGAGCAAGAGGATGAAGAAGTTCTTCAGGGAGAACAAGGAGATTTCAATGATGATGACACCGAACCAGAAAATCTGGGTCATAGGCCACTCCTTATGGATTCTGAAGATGAGGAAGAAGAAGAGAAACCCAGCTCTGATTCTGATTACGAACAGGCCAAAGCACAGTACAGCGACACGAGCCCTGCCTGCAGAGACAGATCTGGCAGTGGGCCAATGCAAGACCCCAAGGTAACACTCCTCAGCCCAACCCAGGTACCTCCTGATGCTGGGGTGGGGACCCCCAGACAGGAGTTTGATGTGTTTGGCGCTGTCCCCTTCTTTGCAGTACATGCTCAACAGCCCCAACAAGGAGAGAGTGAAAAGAACCTCTCTCAACAGACCCATTTTCCTGCTGTGGGACTAGAGCAAGAGGAATTTGATGTATTCACAAAGGCGCCCTTTAGCAAGAAGGTGAACGTACAAGACGGCCATACAATGGGGCCTGAGGCACAGACTCTGCCCGGTTGTCCTAAACGTGTAGATATGTTTGGCTCCACTCCATTTCAGCCGTTTCCCACATCTGCAAGTAAAGCTGACAGCCACGAGGACCTTTTTGGGCTTGTGCCCTTTGAGGAAATAACTGGGAGTCAGCAGCAAAAAGTCAAACAGCGTAGCTTACAGAAACTGTCGTCTCGCCAAAGGCGCACAAAGCAGGATATGTCCAAAAGTAACGGGAAGCGGCACCATGGCACGCCGATCAGCACGAAGAAGACTGCGAAGCCTACCTACCGTACCCCAGAGAGGGCCCGCAGGCACAAAAAGGTGGGCCGCCGAGACTCCCAGAGCAGCAATGAATTTTTAACCATCTCAGACTCCAAGGAGAACATTAGCGTTGCGCTGACTGATGGGAAAGACAGAGGGAATGTCTTGCCTCCTGAAGAGAGTCTGTTGGACCCCTTTGGGGCCAAGCCCTTCCACCCACCAGACCTGCCGTGGCATGCTTCACATCAGGGCCTGAGTGATATCCGTGCGGATCACAATCCTGTGCTGCCTGGACGGCCAAGACCGAGTTCGCTCCATGGGTCTTTTCATAGTGGAGACACGTTGAAAATGGATGACTTTGGTGCCGTGCCCTTTACAGAACTCGTGGTGCGGAGCATCACTTCACATCAGCCCCAGCAATCCCAGCCAGTCGAATTAGACCCATTTGGTGCTGCTCCATTTCCTTCTAAACAGTAGATACTTCTGACAGACTCTTGGCATTAACCCCTGTTTCAAAAAAAGTATGAATAGTTTTGAATTAGAAAAATTTATTTGTATAGCTCTTTATATCATATATCCTTACAGGTCAATCAGAATAGGTAATTTTTAAATAAACCAAATAGGAAAAAGGACGTTATCTCCACAGAGTAGTGACTTGGTGTCTCTTCCACGCAGGAGAAAAGAGAGCTAAATTGGAAGCTCTGACCCAGGGTTTCAGCTACTGGCGTCACAGCACAGAAATCCAGGGAAGGCACGTGGCAGCTTTCCAGCTGTGCGGCCACTGAAAAGGGACTGGAAAGCTGTGTCATTATTTTTATAACAGAATGTCACTTTCGTGTATGTATCCCAGGCTCATTCTAGAATCCAGCATTTAAGACTAAGGTTATTTGTGCATGCACAGGTTGCATTTGTGGATTCTTTTAAGGTCTCTTCTAATTTCCACAGAGTGCACAAGGATCTAGTTCTCATTAAGAATTAGAAAGTTACTGTCTGGAGATTGCAGAGATTTTAGTCTTACACCTTTCTCTACAAAGCAGAGCCAGAAGTAACTGACTGTTGTGCCTAAAACTTTTCATTTTTAAAAACAAGTGCCATTAATATGGAATATCTACATAGAAGCCTGGAACAAAAACTAAAGAGAGAGATGTGACATGTGGAAAATAGAAAAGAAAAAGTTATACAGAAGAGAAAAAACACTCTACTTAAGGAACATTTTATACACTGCTTTTGAATGGCTTCTTGCTGAAAACACTTATTATTGCTAATAAAGGAGATTAGTGAGAAAATGGAGTGAGGACAAGGGTTATATAGATATTTTATTTCAGGAAAAAATATGTAGCTGAAACCCTGAGGTTTTAAGACGTTTACAATATAAAAAATCATGTTGCATTTAATAATGTACTTTGTTAAATTACCACCTTCCTCAAATATTCCCCAAGTTGTGAGCAACAGTTTTTTAGTTAGGTTTGGGGGTGGTATAGTTTTAATAAAGTGCACAGAACAGCGAAAGCCACAAAGCCTTATAGGCAGGACTCCTGTATCCTGCAGCAAGTACCTCTGCACTGATCCAACAAGATCTTAAAATGGCTATAAGGTATTAGATGATGAGTGACTAGCATCTTAACTCTGCTTGCTAGTTGATTGAAATGTCTTTAGTGAAAAGAACCTAGCTACCAAATTGCCTTTTTTTTTAACACCACAAGTCCTAATTAGAAACTTGAGGTTTTATAGAAATTGTTTAATAAGATAGATATTACATATATGAATTAATGTGACTACAGTATCTGTGCTTCTTGTGTCTCCAAGTATTTTAAGTTATAATTAACTGTCTTTCCCGATCAAATTAACATTTAGAAGTTTCTAGAACTATTAAAGCTATTTATAAAAAAGAGTGGAAACTATCAGCTGATACTCTCCTTGATTGCTCTGTTTTAAATGAACTCTCTTTGAATCCAATTAAAGTGTATTTTATGAGTAATCTTATTAGAATATCTTAATTATAGTATCCCAGTTGGGATGAACTGTTTGCCTGTCTTCACAGTTCTAAACTTAGAAAGAAGCAAAGTATATGTAACTACACCATATAATCATTTTTTATTGCTTCTCTTTTACATTTTAAAACAGAAACTAATTTGTGGACAAGCAGGGAAGCACTATCTGAATCACAGCACAGGCAGACTGCGCATCACATTACTGCCTACGAGTGTGCTTTTGAGCCCACCTGCACCAATTACTTGTCCTGTGCCAAAGGCAAATATTGTATTTGCACCTTTTTTTTTCCTGGTTCTCAGGTTGATTAATACTGCTAATGCAAATGCTTAAGTAGATGTTCTTTAAAACTTTACAAAGTAGATTCAAGTGATCCTTTCTTTTAAAAGTGAAGAGTTGATGATTACACTTAGTAAATTCATGAACTACAGTAGGTTTGTATCAAACAGAATATTTTTTTTTTTAAATGAAAATCTGTTGATTGATGTGTGCACAGTATGCTTCTTTGACTATTTTAGTCCTTGGCCTTGGTCTCTGCTAGACCTCATGAGTTTTGTAATTTAGAAGAGGTAGTGGATGAATCGATGTGATCTCCATGGGTTATAAACGTGGAATACCTAGAGTCTCTTTGATACCAAGGCCTTGCTTACACTTGCTTTTTAATACACTGAATAATTTTAAATGATTTAGACACTGATATAGACACGTTGGCTTATAATGTTGGATAAATTCTAAGGAAACAATTTTGACATTGTTTAAACTATTTACATTCTTATGTTTCTTATATGACAGCCTAGTGACTTTCCTCTTTTGAGATTACGACTCAGAGGAAACACAGGGTTCAATAGGGTAACCAATGTGGTAGAGATGAGTAGAGGTGGGAAAATTCCTTTGTGTTGAAGTAGAGGTATTTCCCCAAGGAGTATAGGATTAGGGTGGCTTTCCATTTTCCTTCATCTCTTCCCACTACTGTTATGATGTAAGTCACTCCACATAGCTGATGCCCAGGTCATTCCTTTATGGAATTATGAGAATAAAACTTCCAAGGCATGTGAAAAAGCTTAGTGCACACGGTGCACAGCACTCAGTAAAAGTTTGGCTCTATTATAGGATGGTCCAATTCTTGTTTAAGGAAGGAAAGTTGAAAAGAAATTATTTTCCAATTAGTAAGGTGTCTTCTGTGCTTCTTTAGCATGTTAAATAGTCATAACTCTAAGCCTGTAATACTTGAACATCACTAAGGGAGGTAAAATATTATGAAGCTAGCAAAAATCTGAGGCCAAAGTTATTTCTGTCCTAACAGCTTTAATTATGCTTATTGATTTTGAATAATCGTTTAAAAAGTGGACCATTTGTTTATTTTAATATTGCTTCAGCAAAATGTTAGCGTTAAAAAGATAAGCTTTTATGGCATTGAAGAATGTATCTGCTAAGACACAAAAGTTGCTTAGTATATATATCAGATGGAGGAAGAAAGGTTATAGGCCTGGATGAAAATTTAACTGACTAGAACATTTATTCAGAAGTATCAATTGGGGAAATAGTGTAATTGTTCCACTGACATGCTCCACTGTGTGTGTGTGCGCGCGTGTTTTTGGATGCATTATTTGGACTTGTAGATAAATGCACCTTTTGATAGATTGTTGTCCTCATCTTGCTGGTTGAAAATACTAAGGTGAGCCCGCTCTTCTGCTCTGATGTTCATCAGGCAGAGCAGTTTTCTCTTGAGCTATTCTGCTTGGTTTATTTTAGATTTCGGTAGTTCACTTAAGCATTGCTAGAAGGTACAGTGTATATAAATATTATTAGTCCTGAGGAGTTTGGGTACTTTTGCTTTAATATACGTAGGATGTGCGGTCAACTTGTTTTTCCTTTTTAGCAAAATTACTCATTTTAGATTCAATATTGAGCTGACAGATCTACTGTGAGAATGAGATGACATTTACTGTGAGAATAACAAATGATAGTTTATTTGAAAACTTTTATACACACTGGTGTTTATATATTAAGAGAAATATATAAACACACACATGCATGTACATGTCACATCTCTTCTGTGGAGTTAATGTGAATTTTTAAATTTCAAATGGAATTGCAACCACAATTGTTACTAAAAGAACATTCACTCCTAGTGAGAGTTTACAAAAAGCCACTAAATAAGGTAGACGTGAGAATGCAAAGGGTCATCATTTGGGGTTATTTTTATTTAAAAATGTATTGTGCTACTTTTGAAAGAGAATTGTTTTTATTACTACACTCTTTTTGTGACTGAAAAGTCATCCAATAGTAAGCAGTATAGTAATAGTAAACTACTTTTTAATTGCTGGCAAACAGCTTTAAGTGCACTTTCTTTGATTACACTTCCATTTTTTGTTAAACTTGAATTTTCTGAAGCCTTTTATGTACCACTAAGCAAATAACTTTAACTTTTAATAAGCCTGATTTACATCTTTGTTATATTTCTAATTGTTACAAAACTTACTTTCTAAAGTAACTTCTATCCTCAAATATAGCTGGGAAACTGTTATGAGATAGTACCAGTTGCTTTTTCTTTCTTCCTATATCTAATTAAGCACTAACTGATTTTACTACTTTACTGCCTTGACATTGCTTATTCTTGACTGAATTGTCCCCCGTTCACTTTGTTTTGTTTGAAATTTAAAGTTATTTTCTTACTGTATTTATCATATGTTTTAATAATCTGCTTTCTTTAAAATGCAATAAATCCCAAATGGATTGCATATTCTTTATAATCAGTGACTTTGGAGTTTTTCATTATTGTCTTATTAAAAATTTTGGACATAAACTTCTATTCGGTTCTTTCATTCACACCAGACATTAAGCATGTGTTATATACCAGCTAGTGGGAATAGAAAAATGAATAGGATTAGATCTCTGTTCTTAAGGAGCTCACAGTAAAGGATTTAAGAAAACCCATTTTGGCCTAGCATTTTTACAACAAAAACAGTGGCACAATTTGTTCAGTTACTGATTCTTAAGATGAAAGTAAAACAAAAACATAAGTAATTTTTGAATGTTAGGCATAGTTTTTGCATTATTTAAACTTTAAAAATGTAACATATGTGACATAAAATTTGGTTAAATAAAATAATGTAATACTTGATTATGTCAGAAAGGCTTTGGCAAGTTAAAGAGTAAACTTATTTAATAGATTGATGGACTCTTTGGTGTTAATACGTATTATTATGTATTACTCCACAAACTAGTCTTTAGATTACTGGCTTGTGGAAAGATTCATCTTGTTATAAATGAACTTTTTAAAGTAGTAACATTTATCTAAAGTTATGTGGAAAAATAGGGCTTTGTGTCTTGTACAAAGTATCAGAATACCAAATTAGAAATGTTATATAAAAAGTGTGGAACGTATCACCGTTCAAATTCATCTATCATTAACTTCTTTAGAGATGAATATATGTTACAATTAGAGCTATTTATTTTGAATAGCTGATCCCTTTTTAAGGAAGGCCAGCTCCCATATCCTATGTAAGATATAGCCAATATTCTCATATTGAAGTCAGGAACTTTTGAAGTTTGTTGGGCATTTAAAAAGGTAGTTCACTTTTGCTTCAGATGTTTGGCACTATTGCAATTACATGTATGTTCTGTAGTGTTTTTGATTCCACATTTACAGAGCAGGACTAGATTCCTGGTGGCTATCATTCCTGCCATCTAAAAATGGCTTTTCACCAGCGACCCCTACTGCTGTTCCTTCTCCCTTCTGAAAATGTTTTCTCAGGTAGTTTCAGTTTGGGATCCCTACCCTACTTAGAAAGTATGGTGCAGAATTTCAGGGGATGTTGGTCCTCAATAGCATCTGTACCTTTTTAATATAAGCACAGTTATTGTGATAGTGCATGTAGAAGATAATGCTACTCCTCTACTAGCCAAGCTGATTCTTCACACACTTTGGCGGGGGTGGAATTACCTGAAATAATTTCAGATGGATATGGACCTACTCAGCTCAGCAGTTGGCAGGAATCCAGAAGTGTGGGCTTTGACCCTTGACATTCAGTACAGGGCAAAGGACTTCTCTAGGTAGGTACCTGCCAAATGGATAGTTGTACAGCTTTATGCCAGTGAATTGCAGTCTTCAAATTGGTTATTCTGTCCAGGTAGGATGTCAAAAGATGTGACAGATATTCCCTGAATCTTCATTCCTAATTCTAAAATATGATTTTGAAGCTGTTATGTATTATAAAGAATGACAAATAGCACTTAATATATTTAGTAAACCCAGTTTATTTACATAATACATATTTTGCCATGCAGCTTTAGAATTGAATGAATTCAGTGTACTAACAGAAAACAAGCACTATCTTGCTATTTAAAAATGCCTTTATGTAGAAAGATAATTGTCTCTTAAATGAGTTAACTACAACCTTATAAATCACTATAGACAATTTAAAACAGCCATGGATAATTCTAAAATGCAGTCTGCTGGTAAAGAGCTTTTATGGTTTACACATTGGTAAAATTAAAACCAGTCTTTTTACTACTGTAGCTGAATAATATACTTTTAATCTTATTTTAATAGATCTACAAAAACAAAAATAACTTAAATATACAGTATTACAAGGCTCAGGTTTGTAGGCAATTTTTAAATAGTTATTCTTTAATGTTAACAATGTCTTAAACATTCTGCCAGTAGTGATGTGCACACAGTAGGTGGTCAATAAATGCTGATATACAGAAGTGTTTATAGATGACAGCAATCCACATTCATTCAGTCCCTACACTGTAATAAATACATCATAGTAAAGATAAGAATGAGGAAGGACAGCTCTCTTACAATATTTAACACTTTCATAAAAAGATGAAATGTTTACATGGTATTCTTATAGTCAGACCTTTTAAATTAAAAATAAAAGTCTTAAATACATTATGTTCTTTTTATCTATTAATTCAGGTGGCAAGTATTAAATAATTCAGACTATAATGAAAAGCCAGGACTATTTTTAAAATTAAAAGAAAATAAAACTAAGGTTCTATATGTTTTTGAGAAGATAACAGTAACTAATATGGTACCAGACCTAAAATAACCAGACTTCTTCATTTGAAAATTAACTATAAATATTCAAGGTATTTTGTTTGGCCAAACGACAAAATATTTAAAAGCAATAATATCATGTAAGCCAGTAAGGGATGTTTTAGGAAAAATATATCCTTATCATCACACAAAATCTTCTATTACTTAGCATACGGGTCAAGTTTGTGGCCTTACGAGAAAACAGCCATTTTCAAAGTAGCGTTCTAATCATAATAGTGGGTACAAAATAGTGTGCCCCTAGCCTACTGGGGGAAAATTCTCCTTGCTTAGGCACAACAATTTATACTCCCAAAACACTACACTAAAAAATACAAAATTTTACAGATGCATAAACTGAGGCACATTAAAGTAACGTTCCTAATATCAGACGTACAAATGGCATTTTGGGAATAAGCTTCACTGTCAGTCAACACTTCTGATATTTAGTAATTCCAAGGTTCTGAAGATATACCAGTAGTTAAAGCAGCTCCTATCAACCCATTAAGAAACTTGGGTAATATTTTATATTCCAATAAAATGTTTTTATGAATGGCTGCTTTAAGGAAATTAATTTATGCATATGAACAAGACCAAAGAACAAGAATGTTACTGTATGATAGGTCATTGAGATCTACTTTTTACCTATATATAATAAAAAGCCAATTTAATGTTTTAGGCCCCCAAATTAGTATATATCAATATTCTGACATCATTATGATGCTAACACATGCATACACAGAGAAAAACCAGAGCACAGGTGAATAATCCGTCATCAAATGGGGCATCTGCACGACTTTGTTCTAAGGCTTAAGGTACATTTCAGGGTCAAGACTGGCCATCTGGAATCTATGGCCTTGAAGGTAGCACCTATGTAGCTGGGAACCCCCATCGTCGGGACATTCACGACTCCACGTTCAGAGAGGTGAAAGCTCTGCTGCCGTAGGAACTTTGGAACCAAAAATCTGCAACCCACTGGCAAGAGTTCAGTTACTATATGGATTTAAATATTATCTGAAATTAAAAAGCTTAAATGGCTAATTACTTGGTTATTAGACCACAAAATTTGTCAGCTGATCATGTAATCAGTTTTTCATGTGACTTATCTGATGGAAAATGACAATGCAAGTTCTTTTCCTCTTCTCAACTCCTCTCTTAAAGGAGAAGAGGTTTAAAGTCTTTGTTTCAGCAAACTAAAAAATCCAGTGTTCCTAGGGAGAAGGGAACCTACAGCGAAAGGGAATATGTGCCAGTTTCTCACAAACCATGGATTTAAAGACTAGTGATGATTCAAAATCACTATCCTAACTTGTGTTAAGCATAGGCTATCCCATAACCCTCATCTTGATTAGGCACTTGAACTTGATCATCCACTGTAAATATTTTCTATTAAAGTAATCACACAGAATGACTCCATTTTATAATGGAGGTGAGCCCTTCCTAAGGAAATTAAGCTGGTGTTAAGTAAAATGAATACTATTTCTACACTGGTTTCACATTCTTTAGATGATTCTTCTGAATGCCAACTAATTTTCACTTTCTGTACAAGCAGCAGATTAGTGGTTTTAAAAAGGGCCTGTAAAGCAGATTCCCAAACTTTCTTAGCTCATTTTCCATTTTTATAAAGTATTACTCATGATATATTAAACAAGAGGAAAAAAGGAAAACTAACAAGAATCTTAGAAATGTTGGGGTATACAACTCCCCATTATATATTGCTTTACAACTGAATAAATCAGGTGGCCATACCTGAATTCACAAATGTGAAACATAGTCAGGACAAGGCTTGCTATGTCTATACTGCATAACATACACTGTTGACTGATGCCACCAATATAACATCACTACTGCAAGGATATGCCATATTTGGTGGCTTGATCCGAGGTAGTTTAGTTGTCCTGGAAAGTAAGGTGGAGAGAAAAGAATACTGATTGTAATATTTTGATATTAAAATGAAAATACATTTTTATCTTGGCCTTAGAATATGGATTTTGGCAGTTTCAGAGCACCTGGAGACTGACTTGAGATTAATTCAGATCCAACTGTTTTTTAAGGATAAATTCATATTTGGTTCTAATTTTAAGATTTTATTCATAAAAGACACCAGTAAATTATTCCAAGTGTGTTTTCAAAATCTAACTTGGAAAAAAAAATCTAACTTGGTTAATTAATTTCAGGAATTTGACTCTACTCACCCACGTCTCAACTTATATATCTGGTGAAAAAAAGACATTGCATGAGAGAATCAAAGGAAATTAATGCTATAAATCATGGAGTGAGATGACTGGAAGCAGGTACACTGTTGTGTTTGGATATAAGTCTGCTAGAAGCACTATTTATTTCAACCATGTGTGTAAGGAGAAAACTCAGACCTGAATCTTGTGCTATTAGACTAATGAAATAATTTGCAAAACGTAATTAGTAATGGGTTAAGGTTGATTTGTTCATAGTTCATATACGACTTAGGAGAACTATTTAATTTCTCTTTGTGTTAAAGGTTAAATTCTAAGGAGATTAAATAACCTGTGAGAAGATTCTTGAAAAAAAAATAACAAAATACAGAGACATAAAAATTTAAAAGTAAATAACTTCTTTCTTACTCATGGTGCTTCTATGGTCATGTAAATATTTCTAACCTCTCTTTTTTCTTACCAAGAATAATAATCAGTATAATATGTAGGTTTTAAAGTATAAGTCAATAGAATTCTTTTTGCAGGGGTTCTTAGCCCTTTTTGTGTGTGTCACAGACCCCTTTGATAGTCTAGTGAAGCTCACAGACTCATTTTTAACAATCTAAAATACAGAGGACTACAAGAAAATTGATTACACTGTAATACAAGTATCCACTTAATTCTGTCCATGGACATCTGGGGGATCCTTGGACTCATCAAATATCATTGTGATGTTTATATATTTTTAAAAATTTAATATGAGCTTAAAGTAAGTTCTTAGGTTTAAGTTTTCTGATTTTACAGTATTCATCACCATTTCACCACAAATGCATATGTTTATCTTTATAGCCAGGTTCTAAGTGAAGACTGGCTAGAAGGTTTTTAAGCCATTTGTTCATGAACATCTGAGACTATCACTTTTATCAGTAAAGACTTTTCACTTTTCATGGTCTCCATATTGACACTGTTCAAAGGTAGCTGTACTCCACCATACATTCAGCTACATGGGGCACATTTTATGTCAAACTGATCTTGCAGAAAAGTTTCGTAACATTTGACCATTTATAAGTGTCCTATATTACACAACTGGGAACTCTGAATATATTAAGGCCTAAAGACATGAGAACTTTCATGGTTTAATTTTCTACACGTGTCAGTGATGAAGAGAAAACAGTTAAACAAAAATCTATAAAGTGATAGAAAAAATATATTTACTAGAACTGTTTTCTGAAGAAAATTCTGGCCCTGCCTGGAGGATGACTGATCTTCAATTTAGGGACATGTCCGAGTTATGTTCCTGAACCCTAAAGTCTACACTCCGGTTCTTCTTTGTATTCCAGTCTCATTAAAACTCAGTGGTAAACCCAGTGCACAGGAATG